TCAGTTTCCCTATCTGTGAAGGGGGATGATGGTAGCAGTCCCTAGCTCACATGGGTGGAGAGGAGGGCTAGATGGGTGTATACGTGCAAAGTGCTGGGCACAATACCTGGCAGAGAGTAAACGTGCAATTAACATCAGCCTTCACTATGGAGGCAACATGGTGGAGGGAACAAGGGAGCACAAGAATTTCCAGAAATCACTGGGAGTTCTATAGAAGAACAGACTTTAGACCCTCATCCTGAAGATATTTGAAAGGAGTAGTGATTCGGGTACTAAGGGGAAGGTGACCTTCCTCTGGGGTCCTAAGCTAGTTAGTGATGGGGCCACAGCAGTGACACATATACTCTTCTCACTAAACTGTTCCTACAGTCCTACAAGGTAGGTATTAGGTGGAACCTAATATGAAAGTGCCAATATTCAACCATTTTTAGCCTACAAAATGGCTTTTTCATAGGGTTCACCCTAAGGTTATTATTATCATCTCCATTTTTCTAATGACCAGGTCAGAGGGGTTAAGCAGCTGTCTGAAGGTCACACAGCCTGTTACAGGTAGAGGTACTTGGGTCAGACCAGGGCCATACAATTCCAAAGCCTATTTTACACCTCGCAGCGTCGTCAGAAAAACAAACCCCCCCACAAAACCATGCAAACATAGGCTGCAAATGCAAGTTGAATGGGGTGGCCGATACTGATGGCTGAAAAGTGGTCAGTGTATGAGCACCAGGGAGGCTGATCTGAAGAGGAGGGAAGGAGCGGGGCTCCGATGGAGGGAGCTCCAGGGGTCTAAAAATCCAGTCCCCAAAGCTCTGGGCTGTGTGTGGAGCCACTGCCATTCTGACATTCTATTTATGGAACTATTTCAGCACGTACTTGACTAAAGAGCAGGTATTTGTTTGCAGGACCTGGAAGCTCTTGAAAGGCAGGGATCCTCTCTCATTTATCTTGTAACCACCTTACAAGTAACAGTTTCCTGACAAATGGTCAGCCGTACAAGTTTGAGCTGTTTCATAAGGGACTGCTCATTCAGATTGAATTTTGGGGAGGGAGGGTTGGGTGCTGTTTATCTAGCTTTATCCAATATGGGCAAGAGAAAATGGGGTCCAGTAGTCATATAGGATCTATCCATCCAGAGGTCTGTGAATGACAATACTTAGGGTGGGCCCTTAAACTTGGGACTTTATGAAGATGACAAAATGAGTTGTTGATGTGAATGTCTGTGTTTTCTCAAGGATGCAGGCAGATGTATAGTACACATGCACATAGGATAAACTGACAAGGATACAGAGGGTGTGATGTCAGTCTCCGGGTCCCTACACTAAGGAACGGGGTAATCCTTAACTAGAACGCTAGAATGCTAACTCCGTGGTCTGGCTTGCAGCTCTGTGCTCCAGAACCCTCCTTCCTGAGCCTCAGCCACTGCTTATGCACTTTCTTAAAACGCTCCACTAAGAGCCCAGAGAACTGGATCTCAATCTATTTCCAGGGGAGGGTTGCCTCTCCCCAACACACTGCAAAATTCTGACTCTGTTTGGGCATTGCCACGGCCCTGATCTCCAATCTGAGAGGCCCCAAGGGTGCCTTCTCTCTGTTGGGACCAGTGAGACTCTGTTCTGCTCTGTTTTCTAGCTCTTCTTACAGGAATGAGAAGAATCATTCATCTCAGTCCTGTTTTCTGGAATGAAGACGGTTCTTGGAGTCTGAACTAAGGATGGAGAACCCAGGCAGTCCCTGTGGAACCCACCGTGGTGCCCACTCACCCTGGTACTCTGGTTTCAGCTCACACCTACAGCTTCCTATTGCAAACACTGCTGCTCTCTGTTCCAGGGAATTCTCTGGCTGCTGGAGAGTAGGCGACTCAGGTAGGGGACAGACCAGAAGTGTTGGGGAGTTAAAGTCTATGGGAGGAGCTCTCAACCAATAACAAATGAGAGTTAGAGGATAAATAGCCCAGTTCCTTGCCTCTCAGGTGGGACAGACCTGTGACATGTTCTATGCAGTGTCCTGGAGGGTACCCATTGGAACCGAGTTCACTAAAACACTCCGTCCCTGTCTTACCTCCCCACTCTCCTGCTGCTGCTTCCTGGGCTCACTTCCCAAATAAACTACTTCCAGCCACATCCTTATCTCTGTGTCTGCTTCTGGGGAATCCCACTAAGACCTCCCTTAAAATATTCTTCCCTCTCAACCCAGCGGCCCTTGTGTACCTGCTGATGGATTGGGTGATGCTTTGCAAATACCAGCAGGCAGCTTTCCTCCTTAGCTCGTCTCTCCTCTCTGTAGCTCGGGCCTTTGGGATTTGTGGATCTAGAGAATATTAGTCGAATGTGCTCGTCCTGCTGTCTGAGCGAGGCTTAAGCAAACCCGTATCACTCATTGCAAAGCAAGTTCTCCTGTGAGCTCCTGGGGGTCTTTGAGGATGGATGCACCTTGGGGGGGAATTTACCTTCACTTTTTTCTGGACACAGCATGGGCTCAAGTTGAATGTCAGTGCTCTAGCGTGCTAGCTCTTCCGTGGCTGTGATCCCTCTGTGCAGTTTTGCCTCAAGGACCGCGTGGCGGTTCTTCATCACCAGCCCAGCCTTTCTCAAGTGATAGACTTTTCTTTCTTTCTTTCTTTTTGTTCATTCTTGAAGGAATAAATAGGAAAGTCTTAGCTAAGAGAATTTCTGGTTCGAAAGATGCCAGATAAACTAGCATTTATTAGAATTTTTGAAACCTATTTGAAAGCTTAATACTGTATTCAGTTATGATTCTAAATGATGGAGTTTTCATTTTGGAGCTCGGGGAATAGGCACTTCCCTCAGAAGCAGTGTGGTCTGTGAATTCTTGGGTTCAAGGCCTGGCTCTGCCCCCCGTGACCTCATCTCTACACTGACTCCTGTATCTGCTACCTCCTGTCCACTGTCACCTGATGTCTAAGGGCACCTTGCGTAACACGCTCAGGCCAAAACCTGCTCTCCCTCAGTCTCCTCCATCATGGTTAGTGGCAGCTCCTTCTTCTAGTAGCTTGAGACAAAACCCTTAGGGTCATTTTGATTCCCCTCTTCCTCTCACACGCCCATCCCATCTTTCAGTAGATACTATTGCCTTAGCCCTCCAATCTCTGTCTGATTACATCTCCCACCTCCACTGCTGCCTCTCTCTTCTGAGCCATCTTTCTTTGTGGCCTAGATTTGTGCAGAAGCAAAATCTCTTACACTGGTCCCCCAGTCTCACCCTTGCTACCCTTCTGTCTACTCACAACACAGCAGCCAATGAAAACCCAAGTCACAGCAGGTCTTTCCCTGCCTGGAGCCCTCCAGTGGCTCCCATCCCACTCGAGTAAAGGCCACGTCCTTACAATGGCCTTACGATGGCCTCCAGGCCCCGTCAGGCCCCAAACCTCTCTGTACCTCTGACTTCAACTACTCCTGTTCCCTTCCTGATTAGCTCTATTCTAGCTATACTGTCCTCCTTGCTTCTCTTCAAACATTCAGCCATGCCCCTGCCTTAGGGACTTTGCACTCGTGGTCCCCTTTGCCTGGAACATTCTTCCCCCAGAAGAGGCTCCCTCACCTCCTTCAGGTCTCTACTCAAATGTTTTCCTGCTTAAAATTGTCCTCACCTCCAAAGCACTCTCTATCCCTCTCTCCTGACACTTATTGCCACCTGGCATCCATGTACTTTCTTGGTTATAACTAACTAGAACTGAAGCTCCTTGAGAGCAGGGACCGTTCTTGTTCACTGTTATATCCCCACCATCACAACAAAGCTTGGCAGGTGGTAGGTGTTTGTGGAAGGACAAATACACATACGATAGGATGTGATTGTGAGGGAGCCATTCAACTTCTCTGGTCCTCAGTATCAGGGAGAAGCCACACTGAGTGATTTCCAAGGTCCTGTTCCTGACCTTGATCTCTGGCATCATGAAGAGGTCCCTCTGAGAAGCTGTTCTAAGACCTGGGACATCCCCAGCCTTTGTCAGCCATGAAAGGATGGAGCTTCTGGCTTTCTCAGCTGAGGGATCACTTACTGGGAAGAAAATGTGGCCAGGGTCAGAGCTGTATTTGCCCTGATCATCTGTTGGAATGGATAGAAGCTGGGATTCCTACAATCCAATAGACACCCCTGAAGTCTGTGCCCACTGACCTCTATCTATTTGCTCTAACCCTGGAGTTGAAATTTTAAGTGCCTATAATAGCTTTCTTTGCGCCCCAGGAAGGCGCGTGCACGCACGTGTGTGTGTGTGTGTGTGTGTGTGTGTGTGTGTGTGTGTGTGTGTGTAAGGACCCACTAACATAATGAGTAAGGACCCGGGAGTGGGAGTCAATGTAACAATGGCAGCAAGAAAGCAAAATGCAACCGCAATCCCCCAGCCTTCTCCCAGACCTGTGGCCTCCAGCCATTTCAGGTGTTCTGACCCCTCTTCCCACAGCCGGGGGTCTGTGCCCCTCACCTGCCTCCTCCGCTGGGTGGCCCCTCTTTCTGTGACTCTGACACCGGGGCAGCTGTGCCACCTGTGTCCATCCCAAGTCCATGTCCTACCCACCCATGTGCACCCCTTTCTCTTGGACGCTGTCGCGGGGGCTGAATGGAGGCTGAACTTGCCAGTTGAGGGGCTGAACTGAGAGTGAAGTAGTTTGTTTAGGACAGGAAGTGTCTCCCCATTATAGTAGGGCATGTCTGGGGACGAGGTGGGTCTGGCCTCCTCTCCCCTTGTTCTGGCTGAACTGGCTGAGTGATAACTGCCGAGCCCTTACTGGCCATCCACCCCTAATCCGTCATCCACACAGCAGCCGGAATGGCGTTTCCAAATAATACTCTGGGATGGTTAATTTTACGCGTCAACTTGACAGGGCCAAGGAAGGGATGCCCAGATGGCTGGTGAAATGTTATTTCTGGGTGTGTCTCTGAGGGCGTTTCTGGAAGAGATTAGCATTTGCAATGGGGCATGAGTAAAGCAGATGACTCTTCCCACTGGGTGGGCACTGTCCAACAAATACATCCGGGGCCTGAATGGAACGAAAAGGTGGAGGAAGGTTGAATTGTCTCTGGCTGACTGCTGAGCTGGGACATCCACCTTCTCCTGCCCTTCATGTCCTTGTTCTCAGCCTGGAGTCTCTACCATGGGCTCCCTGGCTCTCAGGCCTTCAAACTATACCACCGGCTTTCCTTCCTGGGTCTCCAGCTCGCAGACGGCAGATCGTGGGACTTCTGTAATCATGTGAGTCAATTCCTTATAATGAATC